GGTCCTTGCTCCCAATGGCCTGTCCTTATTTTGTATTAAATATTCATTACATAAAAGCAGTGAGATAGCTTCTGTCTCCAAGGCTAAGGTAAGAATGCTGGGACAGCTTCCTATCCCAGTAGGAGCCATCTCACTGAGCCACCCTGCCTCTCCAGGCCTCCCTTACCATTCCCCAAGGCCACCCTGTGGAGCAGGTTCTAGAGGAGGCCGAGAAAAGGTTCTAGGCAATGTCCATCCCAGGGCTGTCCACATTCTCAGTCGCTGCACACTCCTTGGGCCACACTAGCAGGGGCTGCACAAGTAGGATCCATTAGCCCCAGGGGCTCCATGCCCCTCTCTGCACTGCACTGTGTACCCAGGTGCCCCTGCCACAGCACCACGTGTAGGGCGCTTCCCTTCTGCACCATATATGCCTGGTGCACCTCCACTGCTGCACGGTGTGCCCGGTGCTTTCATGCTGCATCCTGTGCCCTGCCACACCAGAGCACCAGGCATCCTTCCTCTCTGGCTGTACTGTGCACCCCATCTCACCCTTAGCTCCCCAGCTGCAAGCTCCCCTGCTGCACCACATCACTCAGACACCCTGGGCTGCAGGCTGCGCTGTGATGCACTGCTTCTTGGGGCACGGGCAGAAAGGGGACACTGGAAGAGGGCAAGCCTGGAGCCCCAGGCTGCTGCTGCAGCCAGAAAAAGAGGGGGACGGTAGAGGTCGAATAGGAACCTGGGGGCTACAGTTTCTTTGTGGGCTGCATGCAACATATGGGCCACCAGCCGGACAGCCCTGGTCTAGCTGCTGGCCTAGTGGTTAAAGCCTTTCACTTGAATGTGGGAGATGCAGTTTCACAGTAGCATAACTAGGGGATGGCAAGCAGGGCACCAGCCCTGGACACTGACTTAGAGGGGGGCCAGTTGTCCCCCTCCCTCAGGAGTCTTTGCCATGGCAGGCACACCCAGTCATGGGAACAGGCCAGGCACAGCTTGGAAGCCTGCCCTATCCCAGTAGAGTATCTAGAGGAGGAGGGGGTGAAATGATGCCCCACCCGAGGAGGCTCTGCCATGGGAGGCACAGCCCTTCCCTCAAGCGTGAGGGGTGAATAGGTCAGCAGAAGCAGGCCTGGGGACTCCACACTGCTGCCTGTCCCCCAGGGGCAGCAGGCAGAGCCCATGCTGCTGCAGGAAAAGCAGTAGCAGCTGCTGCTCAAATGCAGAGAGCCCTGGCAGGTAAGACTCCTCTCCCCACCTCTTCCAATGGTCAGCATAATTCTCCCTAGACGCTGCCCTGCCCAGGTGCTAAAACAGCTTGCTATGCACCTCTGCAGCTTTAACCCCGCTCTGAGGAAGGGACCCCTAAAAGCCTGGGTCAGCAACTCCCTAGGTAAGTGTCCTAACTACTGGGCTAGAGGGTGGGAGTGCCTCTCTCCTCTGGTGTCAAAGACCTACTCCTTGTGTTTTTTCCTGCTCCTAAGACTTTAGGACTTGCACAATATTACATGTATACCTGGGTGATTCAATGCTTCCTTAAAGCCTATGGGTGCCTGAGTGCTGGGAGGCTGCTCTGATTAATCAAGTCTGATGGAGTGTGGTAATTGTCACGCTCCAGTAACGTCCCGCATCTCATGCATTCGTGTCCCCATGCTTCAAAATGGTGGCAGGGGCGCTTGAACTAAAGCTCGTTGAATGAATTTGAGTTCAACACCCCCACCACCATTTTGAAGCATTGGGACACTGATACCCAAGACACGGTGGTGCTTTAATTAAGGTGGCTCTTGGAGCAGCTCTAATTAAAGTGTCCCCCCTTACTCCCAGAGCACGTATAAAATTGCCCTATGTGATCAGACTGCAGCTGCCTGAGCATGCTCAGTACGGAAGTGCAGAGCCAGCCTAACTACACACATGCAAACAGAATATAAACTGTGGCAGCTTTCTCTATGATATTAAGTGGTTTCATTGCAAGTCTGTGTGCCAATACACTGGCTGGTATAGTGTGTACTGCCTGGACAAAATATATATTTTTAATAAAAATAATACTTGTAATATTACAATGGAAGTTTTTAGCAGAATAGGAATACTGATGTTTTAATAATTCATAGCAATAAAAGTAGGTATAAGACTAATATAAATGAATATAGCATTATTGTATAATATTACTAATTTAATCACATATTTTACATTAGCTTGCAAAATGAGACTGAGACACAAGGGCTCTCTTCTGTATTGCATCTGTTTTACATTTAGAATCTGGTCTGAAAATAAAGATAAGGAACATAAGATGAATGTCCCAGATCCATTATTTTGGTTGTGCCAAAGCAAAATATATAATCGACTAGTTTTAAGAACAACATATTACAACCATGAGGGAATAAACCTTGGATTTGGTCAATTAACTTCACTGTAATGCTTCTCCTTCATACATGCCATTAATGTAAGGCTACATGCTGCCAACACTTTGAGCGTGGAGCTCTCGTGGGAGTTCCACGTTAGAAGTGCTTTCAGAAAAAGGCAGCTAGAAGAGTTTGGCCCAGATTTTCTCCTGTTTATTACAAGACAGCCACAGCAGTTTACACTAGCAGAAAATGTGGCCTTTTAATCCCAGTGACTTGTACAAAGCTAAATGTGGAGAGTGTTTATTTCACTCCGTAGTGGCTTTAGAACTTATAGAATAACCTGTACGGTTTGCAGCATTTGAAACTATGGCTTTTCTGTGCTGAAAACAGAAGTCATTTATCAAAGGCACAAGGAACTGTGTGGGCAATTGCTGTAAACTTTCCTATGGTGCTTGTCAATTGGCCTCAACTATTAGTCTGACCAAAAAAACTCCACTTCTGGAGTGGGACCACCACCTCATTTCCCCCCAAGAGGGATTTAAATAAACAGAGGGTTTATTTACTACAGACCTGATGAAAGAGGCTATGAGAGACATTATCCTGATCCTTGTTAACTCACATTAAAACTACTATTGCTACTTTGTTTATTATACTTCAGTTATTTCTATATTCAACTGTGAATTTAAAAGGTCATTTTTAATACCTTAGTACTGGAAAATATACACACACATTCACACACACAGCTCTCCATGGGCATAAAGTCTGTCTTCACTATTGCAACGTTTCCTAAAGTATAGGGGACACTACCTGTATACCTCTGATTTGTTCCCTCCAAAGCCTCAGCCTTCAATGTTCATGAAAAAAGAAGTCTATAGCTTATTATTTATGATAGAGCAATATAAAGCAGATAGTGTATCAAATCATACAAAAAAGGCCTGTTTCATCAAGCTGTCACTATCAATTTGGCCTGCAACTTCAGCAGTAAATTTCTTTTCGCCACCGTGAAGTGACACACTGTGGAAAACAACATTTTTCTGTCACTTTTAAGATGAGGAGCAAGCCCCATCTGTAGCATCTGCCACAGTTCCATCATTTTACACTTATATTAGAATGACATAAAATCATTCAAAAATGTGTCCAATTTGAAAACATTGGATTAATATTTCATTTCTTAAAAGGGAAAGATTTGTATACAGGAGCCAAATGAATGTGCTAACACCCTACTGTGCTTCTACCATACCTAACAGAAACACTAGGAAATCTCCCCTAAAAACAGACAGACAAGTAAGAGGACATGAATCTTGTTGATACAGTGCAAAATATTTGTTTAGCTCTTCTCAACTAGAAGGAAGGGAACAGGCCTCACCTTGGCTGAGTGCTCCATGGTCACGACCACTTTGGTTTGTGAACTTGATACTAAGTCCATGGCACCACCCATTCCTTTCACCATCTTACCCTACAAGAGAATTTAAAAAAGGAAAAATTAAATACCTTGCAATATTTAGTACAAGAAAAACCAATTTAAAATAAGCTGGTTATTTTGCTGCACAGAAATGGAATAATTTCAGGAGGACTGCATGATCACCAGCTTTTCTATGACCCCCCCCCCCAGTCTTATATGGGAAGAACTTGACTAGATACAACTACGATTGACAGAGTTACACTGTAGGAAATATGCAGCCAATTGTACTTCACTGTCCCATTCTGTGATCTATATGGTATAAGTAGAAAGTTATGAATAACATATCTGTCATAGTTATTCTTGGAGTAGTTCCAATGAAGACAATGGAAATAAATCCTTTACTTGAATCACAGCTTAATCCCATGAGTAACTTTAATTTTGTGAAAAGTCTTCATGTCCTTATTGGATGCGTTTAACATTGAACTCAAATGAGACTACTCTTCTTTAATGTTCAAGTCCATTACTTAAATGGAGCCTTGGGGCGCGTCCACACAAACGTGCACATGTGTTTTGTGGCACCTTGAAGACTTTTGAGGCACCGCAAAACATATCCCATGTATGTGATTCCGTTAGCCAAATTTAGATACCATAAAATCCCAGTATAAAAAAAAAAGGACTCTGAAAAAAGCAGCACAACAGACACGGTAGCAGCGTGCGCCATCTGAAACTGGAACCTGACCAGCCCCAGAGGGGATTTGTTTTCCCATACAAATGTGAATGCAGGAGTACAGTTGTATTTCAAATAGGTTCAAAAGAATAATGGTATGTAAAAACATCACACACCTAATGAAGACATTATGTGTTATGTAATACAAATATCATTATATTACTGAAGTGTCATATCACTGTTTTTAGGACCACCATTCACATAATTAGCTATATGCTTTGCTTGGACTGAAACAGAACCAGAGTCTCAACACATCATTAGGAGTGTAAAGTTGGATCCTAAATTTCCTGTCACTGTTTCTCACTCATATTGGATGGGGTCATGACAGTCTATATCATATCAAGGGCCAGGAGCTCCCCAAAACATGATGTTCCAGAAAAATCACTCTTGTTCCTTTATGTCTAAAGCAGGCCCTACAGAGCCCAACAGATCTTAGCTTGTTCTAAATGAAAACACAACTCTAGATACCCATTTATAGTTCTTACTAACCCTGCACATTTACAAGTGCATTCTGTTTCTCTGAAAGCTTAAGCTAAGTTTAATTGCAGTTGCCACATGCCAGATTGTCTGTGAGATGAACTGAGTACCTATGTGCAGAATGCAAACGGTCTTAAAATGAAACATTTACTCTTCCTGGAAACTGGTCTGCAAGAACAGTTAAAAGTTGCAAAATATTCTGTTAAAAACTATTCAGAGTTTTTGGCATTGGGTACTGAAGCAGGAACTGGTTGGGGTTTGGGGGGGAACTATATGGATCACTTAGAGAAGTTACTGTTTATTTGTATTTCATTTTCAGTCAACAGGGTAAATTGAAGGAAGGACAACTGTTCTCTCTTTGCAACTTGATTCAACCCTCTTAATTGAAATGTTATAATTAAATAAGCTAAAATATTATAATCAAATAACCTGTATTAATAGGATCAACTGCTGTTATTAACTCCTTGAAAAAACTAAAGTATTTTAGTTGACAACTGATGAAATAGTTCTGGAGGTTTATTATATTTCCTGACATGTTCATAACGGGCATGAACACTTTTTTTCTTCTATAGGCAAGGTTTATAGGATCCCTTGTATATTAATGCTGCTAGCCTAAGATTTCAAAGGAAAATGTTTATTTTAGTAGCAAAACTTCAAATTGTCCCTGACCTCAAAATACTAGAAAGAAGAGCCTTTTAATTCCATCTCTGATTGACAAAGGAGAAAGGTTTTTCAAAAGCAGCTTTGTACCTTCCAGGGAGAGCCAACATTGAGAATATATGTATACAGGCATGGATCCAGGGGAGTGAGATGGTGCAGTCACATCCTGCTTTTGCCCCCACTTCCTAGCTGATCTGCATGCAGGAGGAGACCTAGAGATGCTCCTGCCCTGCTCCAGCCATGGGCTAAGGTTGTGCAGGGAGCTAGGCTCAGCATGGGACAGCAGCAGCAGACTACAGGTTCTTCCTTCTAGCACCTGCTCCCAGGCCTACCTCTCTCCCACAGGCTGGGAGCAGGCGCTGGAAAGAGGAACCTGTGCACCACCACCACTGATGCAGGCATGGGTGAAGGCCCAGGGCTACTCCTGCCCTGATCTTACTGTGCACTGCATGAAACAGCTGTGAGGGGAGCCAGGCAGCATGCAGGGTCCATCTACTCCCAACAAGTGGAAGGCACCTGTGCGGGGGTGATCAGGGGGCAGGGGCTGGAAGGAGGAAACTGTGCAGTGCTACTCCCAATGTCCCTGGCCAAACCTGGCTCCTCATGCAGCTATCTCCCACAGTCGCTGGCTGGAGTAGGGCAGGAGTGGCTGTAGGCCCACCATGTCTCCAGGTCAGATGGGAACAGCAGCAGATATATCAGTGGAGGGTGGGTGTGGGGGTCCTCCTGCCTGGCTCCCCACTGTCCTCTGCTACCTGGGGTTCAAGCTACCCCTCACCCTAATCCCTCATGGTCTGAAGGATGCCCCCCACCCTTTAGTAAATCCAGGATCCACAGGTTTGTATATATTTCATATATTTATATATTCTTAGAAAAGACAGGCAAGGAGAGAAGGAAGAAGCATACTCTTGCTTCCCTGATCCTTTGAGTCAGCAAAGCAACTGCTAAGAGTCCATGGAGCTGTGATGACTTCTCTCACATTGTCAAGCCAAGACTTATAGACATGTAGCTAACTAGAGAGGCTTCCTAATAAAGCCCTAGATGATATGGAGCAGAATATTCATATGATGTACCGTCTGTACTTACCCTGAGGGTAAGGAACACTTTATAGGGACCAAAGGAAACCTTTAAATTGAAAACATAGCTTCACAAAAGGAAACTGAGTTTAGCCTAATTTTCAGTTATAATCCATGCTCACTGAGAGCTGTATGCTTCAACATTACCCGTTTAAATATATGTAAAATAGGTTATCACCTTGGTTACCTGCATACTCTGGATATAGCAAGTTGGTCAGAACACTGCCTGCCTTTCCTTTCTTTTATCAGATAACGAGCCACGTGCATCCTCCCATGTTTTAGGTTGTGTTCCTTCAGACATTCTTAAAAACTGTTATTAATGCTTTTATTTTGAAGCCCTATCAGGTAAACCACAGTTCTTACGTAGTGCCTACCTGGTGATGAATATAGCCATTAAAAACCCCAGAAAGACCAGTTTAACTCATCCATAGAATCCAATTCAAGCTGACTTGCTAAATAACTTGAACAAATTGCCTGAGATGGAGAAAGGAAAAATTGTGTCTTTGTAGGTATTGCAGGATTTTGGAATTGGAAATGAATTTCCAAGAGCCAAATGCTTCCTTCACATTCAAGGAACGAAGCTGAGAAGAAGGGAACTCAAAACCAAATCAGGAGAGGAACAGTGCACAACTGTTCCACTTTCCTATCCTTAAACTTGCACCCTGAAGTGGCCTCTGAGTCAGAGTGATAGAGAAGTAGGGCTGGAAGGGACTGTTGCTTGTAGGTACTGTAGGGCTTTGGTCCTTTCTTGATAGATGCCTTTCTCCCAAGTGATGTCAGGGTGAGATTGGGCTCTGGTGCCACCTAGATGGTGTGGGTGCTGCTCCTACTTTCCTGCCACGTCTTTGATGTTCCTTATTGGGGAAGCAGTTCCCTTCAAGTGGCCCCCAAAGTGAAGAGGTCTCGACCCTGGTCTTTCTTTGTGGGGCTCCAAACCTCACCTTTACCCCACCCTTGCCACATCCACGGCCTGGGCAAACGCTGTACCCTGCAGGTCTTCCCCAGGATGATCTCTTCTCATCCAGACCACCTGCCTCTGAATGGGTCAGGCCTTCTCAGCCAGCACAATCTTTCCTACAGCTGGTTCCTCAACTTTGGGCCGGCTTGGGCATCTAAACCTGCCCTGGCTTGGGGCTAACTGGAACTCAAAATGAATCCAAAAGAAAATATCCAACCTCCGCCAACAGACCCCTGGGATCCTGTCTCCCATTGCCCGCTTGGTCACTCGGAGAGAGGTGGGGGGAGGAGGGGAACTCGCTCGTCCCTTCCCTCCTAGTAGTTGTAGGGCTGGGCAGCTACCCTGTGCCCCACCCTGATCTGTCTGCCACTCATTTGGACTCCTGCAGTGAGTATCGGGGCGTGTGGGGCGGGGGTCTGGGACACACTAGAGGAGCTTTTACTGTCCCTCTCACAGGGACATCCAGAGGACTTCAGTGATCCTTGCAGACCATACTGGAGTAAGGGAGTTGATATAAGAATCAGCGGCTATTCACAGCCAATTTATTAACTAAAGGGATGTAACCTTTCAGGAAAATGATGATGAATTCAGTCAGACAGGAAACAGCACTAATTCCACTGTGACATTGTTGTTATTAATGAGCGAACCAGAAATGAAAAGCAAAAAGGGGTAGAGGAGCCCGGGGCCCACAGTAGTGTAAACTAGGGATGCGCGAAATGGGCCGTATTCGATTCGGATTCAGCCCAAATCAGGGACAGTAAATCGATTAATTGATTCAGATCACTGTCCCGATTCGATTTGGCCGAAACTGAAACTGAAGATTCAATGCTGATTTGGAGAATCAGCGATTCGGCCATAGACATGGTTTTAAGTTTTTTCTACATACATTGAGGTATCAGGCATGGCTCGTGAATGCTGCAGTGGTGTGGTGGGTGGAGCATTCCTCAGGAGCGTGTCCCTTCCCTCCCCCCCCCCGTGTGCTCAGCAGCGAACACAGAAGTAGACCGGAAGTACTTTCGGTCCACTTCCAAGTCCGCCACCAAGCGCATCGCAGGGGGGTCCCCGCCTTGGTGATCAGCTGCTGGGGGACCCCAGGTGGCCCCCCAGACCCAGGAGGCACCAGCTGCCAAGCCATGGGGGCACAGGGGCACTGCTC